TATGCATATTCTGAAACTATCATCTTGTCAAGTGTTAGTTTTATTTCTAATACATGTAGAAATACTAATAACTTTTCTACTAATAATAACTGTACTAGCAGAAGGCATTTGAAACCCGTTTCTGCCAACCTCTGCTACAATGACTAACATCACACTTTGCAGAGCAGTCCTATTCAATTCCATGACGCTGCTTTCTAGCAAGGTATGAGGAAGTTAGCTACCTGGGAGAGACCTGAAGCAACCTCTAGAACATGTTCCAAAAATAGGTTTGCAGTTAACTTAAATCCATATCAGCTGTAAAATTATGTATTGTACTCATCACCATGTAATTGAATGTGCACAGTAGCTAAGCTCTGGCATGTTTCTGGTAAGTGTGTATTTCTTTTAAGTAGCATAACAGAAATGTGAGGAAGTGAAATGATCTAATCACGGAGCACAGTAAGCTGAAAGTGTAAGTAAGTTACAGACCTCACCTGAGCTCCTTGCTCTCGGGGAACACTGTGGGATGTACTTAAGAAGAAGGACACGCTGCTCTGTCTGTACAGCCCCTCATATCCTAAGAGGAATCCTAAGAAGATCCTAGGAGATCTTATCCTGCATATCCAGTGGTTTTCAAGGAATCTCACTTTGCAATACCCACTACTTTTTTCCTAACAGCACCTGGTAAGACTCGCCAGCACTCAGACAGCTCAGGTAAAGGAGCTGTTAGATTCGTGCACAATAAACTGGCAGTCCTGCTGTTTCACAGGTTTTCTGTAAATGCCATCAAAAAGTACTTTTCCTGAATGGTCTTTCTATAAAAGCACAGTGCTGCTAATAAACAGTCCTTGTTCTACCCAGCACCAGCTTTCACAGCAGGCTTTGACTTCACAGTGACCAGTGGTGTTGGCGTACATTATATTTTAACATGGTGTGCATTGCATTTTAACATGGAGACAGCTCTGTGCATTGATACACGTGTGCAGGTTGCCCATTCACTGCACAGAGCTGTCACAGCTGTACACACATTGTCTTAACAGTGGCAGCAATGCGCTATATCACACACTGGCACCCAGCAGAAAGTAAGCTTCATTCATCACTCAGGCCAAGTCAACCAGTGATCTTTAGGGATTGTTAATGAAGGAGACAGGTATTTACAGAGGCTGTTGACCATCAGAAACCGTTCAATAAATATCTCTTAATAACCATGAACAAATAAATATAAAGTTGGCTCAAGCTACTCTATGTTGTTGCTATTTTTAATAGCATAATGCTGACAGAAGGCAGTGGTAAGAGTGGTAACTGTATTTAAATGTGGATATAGCTATAGATGGATGAATTATTCATTGCAGGGGTTCAGATAATGTAACCTTTCTACCTTTTGGTAGACTGTCCACAAAGAGATGTGTTTGTTCTATATTAATCTGTGTATTGATACAGCCAAATAAAGAAACTGTAACAACAGGTAGCATGAAAAGCATAAAATACATCCACTTGTGATTAACCGGGCAGGCTGCAGATGTTTGAAAATCAGTATAAAGCTGATTTCCACAGATGGACATCTGGTCCTAGAAGGGTCCTTGGGGACATCGCTGCTGCTGTGTTAGCTCAGGGGTCAGGCTCATGCTCCAAACCTGCTCCCCAAACCCTTAAGCTGTTTACCTTGCTGCTTTGAATATTTACACCCCTGCTCATGTCTGGAAGGAGCGAACTGTCTCACTGACTTGGAAACTCATGTGTCCTCCTTCAGAGCCACCCCTCCAGGCATGGCAGGTACTGCAGCCTGAACCCAAAGGGGTTCAAACCTGGGGATTAAAACCAATAAACAAAAAGAAGACAGTGTACACAGAGTTATTCTGCATCCCAAAGGAGAGCAAAACCATGGGAATAAGGCACTTTGTGGAGCCTGCGAAGTTGCCACTGCCTGCTCCAGTTGGTGCAAGCCACTTCACAACCACTTCAGCACTGCTCTTTTAATCCCCATTCAAAACAGCTGCTCCCCTTTGATTCCTCCTCGCTGGGGCCAGCAGTTATAATGCGGCCTGCATCTACCCTCCCCTCCTTGACTAAATCTCCTGTTTTTACCTGGAGAGCCTGGGAGCCCCGCTATTTTGCACCACTTACCTGCCTGCAGCCATGTGGCAGCGGCGTGGAGCCGTGCTCCTGGTGGGACGGGTGGGAGTAAAGGCTGCTGGGGCACCGCGGCAGGCGTGCTGGAGGGCAGGCAGTGGCTGGAAAGCAAGCAGGCTCCCAGCTCGGGGGCTACAAGGTATCCTGCGGGCTGGCTGACAGCTACAAGTAAGCTCCGCTGAGCAAGAGGGGAAGGAGAGGCTTTCTGCATGTAAACTTCACAGCCAGGGATTTGGGGACTTGTTCCTGTCTCCTGGCATGCCAACGGTACCCATCACCACAACCCTTTTCTGTAACAGAAGGAACAGCAGAAGGAATTAAGTAAAGGAGCAGAAATAAACGTTGTTCGTCTCTTTGGTGCATTTTTTTTTTTTTTTTTTTTTTTTTTTTTTCTGATTTGTTGCTTGCACATTTCAGCAATTACTTTGGAGGTGGTTAGCAAACTGCATTCATTTCTGGAAAGTTTTGTGATCAGTATCTACAAAACTAAGAATTGAGAGAGAGAAATATAAAGCATGTCCTCGAATGTTATTGCTATAGGCACACAAAATGAAGTCTTAAAAGCAGTAGAAAAATAAATCCACGACTTAACTTTTTTTCCTCTTTCCTTTTCCCTTCCATCCATGACTACAAAAGCATCTTAGCCTCTGGTGTGAAATCACCATACCCCAGAGCATCTCCCTTACTAGGATATCTCCCCTACAGAATAAAGATCCTATATTTTGCTTTGAAGATCATCAGGCCAGGAAGACTACTGCCAGCATGACACCCCTAGGACTCAGCCTGACATTTGTCATCAGGACGTGCAGGGCACATGGCTGGAGTGCACGGGATTATTGCCCGCAATAACGAGATACTAATTGGTTACTGGGGCAAGCTGTAACAGGTGAAATGAGAGACAAAACAGAAGCTGTTTCTCTAAGGCTTTTACAGTAAAAAGCATGGCTAAGCTTGAGTAGTTAGAACCAATATCACTCAGATATTCCCTTTGATCCCATATTCCTGCATGTCCATTATGAAACCATCAATATCTCCCGAAGGTCAGAGGGAAGGTGGAGGTTCTCTGAGGATCGGCCAAATGCTACCTTTGCATCTCTCACAGCTTCTCTTTCCAATATTTATCTTCATCAGTGATTCCGATTCCACAAACAAGGACAACTTGCAGCAAACTCGAGACAGCTTGGGGAAAGAGAAGGTAGAGAAGGTTGTTACAGAGGACACTTTCTCAGGTCTGTGCCTGGCTGCCTGGCCACAGTTTTCCTGTAAGGCTGCACCTCTAAGTACTGTATTTGCCTCTGGCAGTTTTCCTCCACATAATGCTAAAGAGAAATATTCAATCAACAGACACTTATACACATCGAGTTAGGACTCAGTGAACATAAAAATCATTCCATCTCTGGGCACAAAACCGCTCAGAAGTTACTAAGAGGGCAAGGATGGGCATAAAGGCCATGAGGCCCCCCATGCCTGTTCTTGGCCCACTGAATTACATAGGAACTTTCTCAGTTTGTTTGGGATGGAGAGCAGCATGCAGGTGTGCAGGCTGTTTCCTTAGATATCTACCAGGATCCAGAGTTTTAAGAAAACATAAGCAGTGCCTTGCCAATGATTCCCACAGCGAGGCTGTCACGGTGATTATTTGCCAACATAGGTGGGTGGAGGCGGTAATAGCCCACATGTGCTGTGCAATTAGCTCATAATTAAAAGCCTTAGATCCAGCAGAAAATGTGAAAAGTTGGAAATGTGGAACTGTGGAAAAAGTGTTTGTGCCTGGTAAACTCCAGGCAAAAAAAAAATATATATATATATTTTTTGCCATTCCTAAAAAATCCCAAAGCCTAAAATCCTAAATTGCCAATCCTAAATGCCTAATCCTAAAAAATCCTAAAAAAATCCAAAATTTTTGGTCAATCCTAAAATCAATGAGACAAGACAACTAGTTTGTGTATCTTATTTACATGAGATCATTGAGTCCTTCTGCTTGTGTCACTGGAAACAGCAGAGTTTGTGCCACGGAAAGGCTATCATGTCTGTTCCAGCTTTCATGCTGCTAGTGCCGCCATTTTTAGGACAAGAAAATCCTTATCTGAGAACTTTCGCTGAATAGAAGGAAAGTGGCACAGTCAAAGTCACATGAAGACACTCATGGCAGCTTGTTCCCTACTCCTGTGGCAAACTTGGCCTCACAAATGAGGTGCCTAAGTTCGGGTGCCACACACCTCTGGCAGAAGCTAGCAGTGGATTTGGGGTCACATGAACTGCCAGGGGAATCTGGTCCTGGAAGTTCTGAGCTTTCAGACCCATTGGACGGCCTGATTCCCCAAGGAGCAGCATCTTTCTCATGCAAAAAAACTGCCAGTGCTGGGGAGGAACAGAGCTGAGAGTGTGCTGTTGCCATAGCAGGGGCAGGGGAATCTATGGAAACCCCTGAAAGGATATTGCTCTATGTCAATTCAAAACAGCATAGCCAAAGACAGTGCCAGGGCACTTACAAGGCACGCTGTGAAGCCAGGATAATTTCAATCCATTTAGCAAAGTGCTCCCAGTCCTCACTTCAGAACAGGTAAAAGGAAAATATAGTAAATATTGAACAAACATAGTTAATCTGTATCCACAGCACTTTACCCAGGAAAAAGCTAAAACCATCTGACTGCTGTCCAATCCTGGTTTACTATTCTCCTCTCAGGCAGAATGACATTTTTATTTTTTTTGACTGCTGCTGTGTGATGGTTAGCTGCCCTCATTCCTTTCCATATACAGGCTCACAACTAATCTGTAGGTCACAGGTGAAAATCATCGAATCATGGGATTGTCGATACCATGGCAATGGCAGACATTTTGGTATCATGATATATATCTGTGAGTAATCACACACTTTTCTCCTCAGTTAGGGTGGAAAAGTTCTCTTGAGAATTGCTTGCTCTCCTGATAAAGCATGCAGGATTTGTACTCTAAGGGACAAAGCAGAAGTCCAATCAATCACTGAAATCAGGAAAAAAATGAGTAAGGTTCTTTAAATTTGTCCTCAAACAAGAAGAGATCCAGGACTCAAATCCTAAAATTTTGCTTGGTATTGTATTATGCTGTGTTCTCTGTTACATTAATTTAAATGTCATCAGGTGTAGCTAAATTTGTTCCTGAAATTTGCAGCAGGGGGAGCGGGGATGAATTTTGCTTTCAAGGCTAATATATTTATCAATCTGTTTTTGTCTTTCACCACTTACATCACCTCAGTAGTCAAAAGCATCGTAAAATACATGACCAGAAGTGTTCTGTTGAATATATCATGAAAAAAAAAAAAAAAGAAAAAAGAAAAGAACAACTTCAAAAGGACCCCAGTGGCTTGCAATGATTGCAAATCCTTTGTTTTCCAGAGAAAATGCTTCATTTCTCATTTTCCATTGAACTCGGGCATTTGGGACATGATCATCTTTCCAGTTCTCTTTTCTGGGGAAATCCTCATTAGATAAAAATAGCTACAGCACTCAAATGACTTCAGTACTCTCAAGTGAAGAAATTACTCTTGTATAGGAACCAACTGGTTATGCAAGGTTTGTTGGCCATTTCAAGCCACCTGCTGTTGTGCATGCTGGAGGCAGCTTTCATCCATCGTAAGCTACAAAGACATTTGAACCCACTGAAGATTTATTGTAGTTTGGGACCAACAGGTCCATTTTGATCACCAACTCTGAGCTTTTGCGTTTTAATCTTCTTAAACCCTGGGGCCAAGTAGGTTAGCCTGCTGAAAGCAGGGCACTAGGGAGTCTTGAGTGTGTGAAGGAATGATTGCCAAGCATCAGCTAACCTCAGCTAGATAAACTGAGAGTCTTCCATGTATCTTCAGAGCAAATCTTGAACTTGCCCTTCTAATCGAGTAAGATAATGCTTAACAACTGCTCTGCCAGTATGTCTGCTGCAGTATATGGCAGCTCTGTACAGTTCACAGAGGGCAGTCCCTTGCTTTGGGGGTGTTTTGTTGTTGTTGTTTTTCCTTTTCTTTGTTCCAGAGCCAAGTATGAGCAGAGGCAGCAGCAGACCTGCCTTGGTTCCATTCTGAAGCTGCAAGTAGCCGTGAGCTCTTCCTGAGGCAACTCAATCAAGGTTAGAGCTGGGTGGAAGAGCATCAGGTGAACATTAAGCGAGCTGTTTAAAGGTCTAATAGGGTGAGTAAGCCTCTGAGCAGAAAGACTGAAGAGGAGGGACACATCCCTTCAAGTCAGGCAGAGGTAAGGGGGAAAGCCTCTGGGAGCAGCAGAGGTTGTACTCTGAAGTTGTATCTAGGTTTACATTTGCAGAGTAAAATTCAGGCTGTGTTTCTGTTTGAAGTGTGAATTGTGGGTGTCTGAAGTGCTCCTTCTGGAAAAGCCACCCTCAGTAAGGGGAAAAAGGCAGCAAATATTGCCTGTGACAGGATGTTCGAAATGAACGCAGTTGGCTGTACTACACTTAGCTCATAAAAGCAACTTTCAAGAACATGTTGACCATTGGACAGCCCTACCCAAATCAGGTCAGGTCATAAAGACTACACTCTTACTACAATAGCCTTCATCTGCCCTGCCCTTACACAATGCCAGCATGAGCAGAGGAGAGCTTTGAATGTGAATCGAGAAAAATTGATGAACGTTTGTCTGCTCTAGAGTCTGAGGGAGGAAACACTCCTGACTCTGCCTGAAAGAAAATGTCATTTTGTTTCTTAGTTCTCCTGAAGCTGAGATGGCCATTAATGGAAGGAGGTACTTGTGTATCATACAACCAGAGGAACTATGATGCTGTCAGTCAGCCTGTTATTCTGGACGATCAGTGTCTCCAGACAAAATTTAATGAAAGACATTTAATAATTACCAGTAAGTAGAATGTATGCTGCACTAAGGCAAACCATACAGAGCTCCATTTTCAATCAAGTCAAACACTGTGCAGCTACTTAGATCAACAAAGACAAAACATAAAAAAAGTGCTTTTTACAAATGTGCTGAATGCAAATAAAACCTTCTACATTTCTTTCAGGCCTATGTGTAAAACACATTACATGATACCAGACACTATTTTTTGTGAATGCTATTCGTTATCTCATGTAATTTAGAGGCACTTCAGGGGCAGCTCACCCTTTCAAGAACATCAAGACACTGTGAGTACCATCAAGCTAGGAAATGATCTTTCTTTCTGTAGGGATGATTTTTTTCAAGCTGGTCAAAAACAAAGATACTATCCTGGATTGGAAGGAAAGCTCTCTCCCTTCCCTCCCCATTTCTCCAAAGGAAAGGAAGAGCTGAAAATTGCACTTGGAAGACATTCAATTGAGCAGACGGTCCGCCATTCTCATGAACCATTTGGATCTGATTTTTAGAACCATGCCAAAATGTACCTTATGCAAAATGAGTAAGAAGAATAGCACTGCAGCAGAGGAATAACGCAGCAATCCGTACAGACAAGTCAGGAACAACCAGCCATTAGGTGAAAGGCCAATATAATTTAGCAACTCACAAGTTCGTAAATGGTAGATTTACAGAAATTTAATCCCCTTCTACTCATCAGGGGATTTCACTACAGACCAGAAATAGCTAATTACAAATCGGAGCAATGAATTTAATAAATAAATAAATAAATAAAACACACTTCAGAAAAGCCCTTTGAATCCTTCAAAAAAGTAAAAGCACTAATTAAAAAAATATGTTTCTCTAAGAAACAGCCACAGGTTTACAGGGTGGGAATTGGCTAACTTATTAGAGTCTGCTCTGTGTGTCTGGCCACTGGTTGGCAACCACAGTCCTTTACTCTATAAAAACTCTTTCAGTAACACTTTGAAATACTTGCCCAATCATGTTTAGTTCACTTGGGAATCATTATAATACCATTAGATGGGATTATATCATTTGGTTTAATGTCAATTGCATTTCCATATTGTGTCCGGTGGTTTTATGATGTGGACAAATATTCCACCAAGGAATAGGCTAAGGCCATCACATTTAAATTCTTTTCCTGAGTCACAGTTGGCAGAAATCCTCATCTCAAGAAATCCAGGCTGTAAAACCCTCCTTGGAAGCAAAGGGGAGACCCAACACAGTTTTACGCTATTCAGAAGATTGCTCCAATGGTGCTTTGTGCTCCTAGAGCCTGCTTAACACACCTAAGTGCTTGAGTCAAATACAAAAGACATTGTCTATCTCTCCCGTCCTATTGACTACAAAGTTCATAGTGAACTACAGATCTAAGATCTTTGCTTAACCCATAGTGGCCAGCCAGAGTGGGGACATGAGCACCAAGACACCTTAGCCCCCTCATATTGGAAGAGGAACACTGTTAGACATCTAAACTACCTGCAAAGCTGCTAGCAAGCTGAAGCCCTCAGACGTCTGATCAAACCTGCTTTCAGAACCAGATCATTCAATGCATTCAACAGTAATAAAACTCTACAGAAATTAAATCATCATCAACAGCAACAAGAAGGATGTCAGACTTCTTGTCACGTGTGATTAGAATGCTTTCGTATTATGGCCCTCATCACTGTTTCAAGAAAATAAGTAAAAACCCATTTTCTTACAAATGGAGCAAGCAAAGCTCAGTTGTATTGGATTGTGTAATACATTTTCAACAACAGTTTTGTTGCTGTCACCTATAATAGAAATTAAATAGATATGTCAATGACCAAGGTAACCAGAATGAAAGTTTTCTCTGTATGGGAAAAGGTGTTATGTTTTTAAAAAACATACAGTTCTACTAGAGAAGATTTGTTGTCCAAAGTTGCATATAAGTACTTTTAAGAAAACACGTGGCAAAGCACAGGAGACACCTAAAGGGAAACAAAACAAAACAAAAAACAAACAAACAAACAAACAAACAAAAAAAAACATGAAACAATACCAGGGCTTGATACAAATAATCTTAATAATAACAATAATGTTTATGGGGATTATACAGACAAAGAGTCAGCTCTAAAATTCATGCTGTGAGAGATTGGTTTTATTTTTCCTAGAGAAGACTGCATGTTGATGAAACTTGTGTTCCTGATCATGAAATAATCACCACCATTAGAAAGTTAGGTGTTAAAAATAATTAGATCTGGTCCAGAGTCAGCCTGACCATAAAAATGGCTATGAGGCTCTGATTTCAATGTGTGTGCCTGTGTGTCTTTTGGGAAATCTCTGCTCCCTAGCTCTTACAGCCCTCAACCAGAGGCAGCATGTGGACAGGGAGCCCAAGGTACCTGCTGTCTCCCACCCTGGGGTGATGGTGGCAGAAGACAAACCCCCACAATGAACACTTTCCCTCTTTCCCCTGTGCAAAAGCAGAACAGGCCAGAGCATGGTGGAGGCTTTTCACAAACCTTGAAGGAATGTGATGTCTTCAAGGCCTCTTCTCTTCTACCTGATTTGACTAAACATAACCAACTGGCTCAGAAGCAGAGAGTAAAGCACAATGGTTGGCCACAAGCACCTAGTCTCTTACAACCCCCATAACAGAAGATTCATTTCCAGAAATACATAAACTGTTTTTCCACAAGACGCAGACCAAGAGGGAGGTAGGTGTTCAGAGTGATTATACCCCTGTTGGACATGCAATGAGCTTTGCAGATGGTCCTCTGCCCATGCTATCCCTGCTGTTAACCACACAGCACATGGAAGGGATGAAGAGGGTTTCTCTCAGCTGGAACCTGGACTATGGTGCTGTTCCTGGTGGAGAGCCTCCATGTGTCTGTAGGGAGGCTTAAGCCTCTTTCTAGGCACCAACAAACTTCTGGCCTGGGGAGAGCAAATGAGTCACATCTGCACAGCTCCTTGGCAAACAAGAGCCCTGTAAAACTCTGCTTTCTCTTAGTTAGGAGTTTCTCACAGGGAAGATATATTTTCATGGGAATTTACAATTTTTTGCCCTCAAGAGAAACTTCACCATTTCCCTTAATCAAAAATGGTGTCATTTTTACCACTAAACATCTCACTTCTTCCCATCTGGCCAAAAACACTCCGGTGAGACATGGGCTTGGAAGAACTTGCAAGCCTCGGAGGGCTAGATCCAGCGGACCAGGCTGACTCAGTTCCTTTATGGCTCTAGGCAGTGGACTTGCCTATAAACGCAGATCCCTGTGTGGATGTAACCCCAGCATGTGCAGTTCCTGGCAGATGCAGAGCAGAAGCCAAGAGACAGAGCAACCTTAAACCACACTCTCCTCTTCTAGAATAGCTAAGCAGGATTGAAGTGAAGATTTCGATGGTGTTTGAGCTGTGGTGAAGACAGGTCTGGCTGTGGCAAGCACAGAGCCATATGCTGTCCTGTGACCTAGGTACTGGAAGTGATGGATTTACTGGGGAAAGACCACAGCTGACCATGGGTGTAGTGTGGAAGAGCCACGCACGCTGTCCATGCAGCACTTCCCAGCAGTGCTGGGTGGCGGCGTACTGGGAGAGCACTGGAACTGGGGTGGGACCATCCGTCTTATTGGGGACTTTGGTTCTCCCATAGTTGAATTTCTAGATCTCAAGCACACACAGAATGATGCAGGCTATGCAACCTCGTATGACCCCTGCACAGAGAAACAATTCTTGGGTCTATTTGAGACGTATTTTGCCTGTAGGTCAGGTGATCAGAGGAAGCTACAGGGAGCTCTAAAGAAGAGCTAGTTGAAATTTACCATTAGAAATATTTTTCCATCATTAA